TTAAAAGGGGGAAAAATCAGCTTGGATCGTACGAGAACCATATACGTTTCAGGTTGATATAATTTACACGCGTCGTGCATTCCCGTGTTTTTACCTCCCAAAACGTCCCGCTATGTTTGGCAGGCATTAAGAGCGCATTTATCGCCTAGGCAACATAGGGTGGTTCGCAATACAAAGACTGAATTAAATGCCGCCTCGCAGAGTGGCGCATGCCAATGACCTCCCTTGAAGAAGCAACAGGTACTTGAGGGCGAGCCGACGTCTGGGAACGTCGTCGTCATGCCGACAAGGCGGACAGAATGTGGCCCCCGCGCCCTGCTCCGCCTCCCCTCAGCCTCACCAAGTGGGTTGTTGGCACGGGGAGCTATAGTGCCCTGTCGAGGGTATCACAAGTGGCTGACGCCGGCAGGTCAAAGCGACGAAACGTCCACTTTTGGAGACGACGGATTTTTTTGTTCCTGCCCTGCCCGGGGGCCTGTAAAGATGGGCAATTAACCGAAAGAGGCAACAGGATTCGGCAGACGCAGAGGCCAGTTGAGGCGCGCCAACAGTTGGAGTCACGGCGGAGACCCCCCCAAAGGTTCCTTTTGTGCAATGGCCTCGACGGGAGACCGACCTGGGCTTTGCGCATGCAGTCGGTCGGCCAAGTTTGCCAGTGCATTTGCTTTCTTTGTACACTTTGCTCACTCTTGTGTTGCCCTTCTACCTTTTCTCCATTCCCTTCCCACCACCACCCATGCACCCCTCAAACACAATCAACTTCACTCAGCCCAGCTTGGAGCCCTTTAGTCGACTGGTCGTAAGTGCACGTTGCTCCATCCCTTTCTGTAGGCCTGTATATTTGCATTTTCGTCCCAGCTCTTGCCGATCCTGTCGTCGGCAATGCGATCAACACAATCATCTTCATTTGTCTAAGCAAGCCCGTGTGTATCTGTATATCTGTGGGTGGGTGTGGGTGTTATTGTTCACCCTCAAGTGGTGGGGTGTAGGCACATTCCATTTTTCTGAATGCATACATGCAAGTGATTTTTCTCTTGTTTCTTGTACATAATACATAATTGTAGATGGCCTCTGGCTAGTTGCCAAGCCAAAGTACTCCAGGCCTTGGTATGGCCCTGGAGTCGACTGAATCGTGAACCGGATGTAATGAAACTTTCATTGGTATGACATGCATTCATCCTATTTCGTTTAAGGTATCAAAGGTGAGAAGAGTGAGAGACGCTTACGAAAGCCCTTCATCGGACATTTCAATCGCAATATATGCGAAGAAAAGTTGGGTTTCGAAGAATCTAATTTTTCATAATTGTTGAACTTACTTCCATTTAGAGTGAAAGTGTTGGGTGAAAAGATTCGAAGGTCGGTTCCACCAGAAGACGACGGTGGATTCCTCTTGACCGGCTGTCGATTGGCTTTACTGGAACATTCATGCGGACGCTGTTTCCGAGGTAATCTCCTTCGATTCCGGTGAAAAGGTGCTAAGCTTTCGTCCGTCATATTACGAACATCATCAGAGCAAGATATCATCGTCACAACCAAATTCAAGCTAACGGAGTTTTCTTCAACGTACAGTGAAATGCACACAGGGACTGGAACCAAGTGAAATCGGTCAACCAGAAAGATAAGGAACAGATCCACAAGACAATGAAGGAATTCGGATTGGAAGCCCGAT